CTGACCCCGGGGTTGAGAACCACTGGTCTAAATCCAAATGAAATCACAGGATTTGGAGCACTCTTGTGTCCCTGCACTTGAGATACAGGCAGGAGGAATGCCACAAGTGACACACCCGAACCTCCTGCCTTCCCCTCTTGCCCTGAACTAGAGTAGTTCAGCCTGGTCTACAGAGTGAGTTCCAGCACAGTTCAGGCTACACAGAACTATCCTGTCTTGAAAAGTCAGAAAGGGGGAACATCTGGGGGAAAAGTTTGATGGTTCAGAATTGCTTGCTAGTCCTTCCTCTCTAATTCCACTTTCCTCCCCATTTCCTTTGTACACACACCCTTTTCCCTTTACCTCCTATACAAAAACACTCCAAATAGTCACTGAACCCAACCTGAGAATATTGTTGGCCCCAGTATCATTGTGAAATGTGCTCTGACATTGTAATTATCATAGCATGCTGCTCCTTTAAGTTAAGCATACTAACACCCAATATTTTTCAATCTCACAGATAGAAGCAGTATGCTTAAACGCCTAGATTATATGTGTCCATCAGGTACACTCTAAGGGGTAGCATTTTTTCATTGTAAAAGTTTTGGCACTGTTCAATTATTAAACAAGAAAATAAGTAGGCTTCTGCTTTGGTTTGTTTTTTTTTTTTTTTTTTTTTGAAACAAGGCTTCACTATATAGTCATGGCAGGCTTGGAACTCAAAATGTAGAAAAGGCATCAGCAAATTTAAGATGACCCTCCTGCTGCAATCACAAACTGGGATTACAGGTGTGTATGACATCCAGCTAGGAGGCATTTAAAATGCAAATTTTAAAACAGGTGTGGTGGCACTTGCCTTTAAGCTCAGCCAGCATTAAGGAGGCTGAGACAGGAGGATCACTATGAGCCTAAAACCAGCCTCAGTTACATAGTAGTAGGCTCCACGTCAGCCATAGCTATACAACAAAACCCAGACTCAAAGGGCTGGAGAGACGGCTCAGCCGTTAAAGGCTAGGCTCACAATCCTCACATTTTAAAAAGACATTATTATTTTATTCATGTGTGTGTGCACATGCCACAACGTAAAACAGGAGCCCAGTCTCCTTTTCCCATGGGATTCCAGGAATCAAACTCAAGGCATCAGACTTGAAGAGCTCTTAATCTAAGCTACTTCTCCAGCACTCCTAACACTTTTAATTGATGGTTATTGTGGAACTCATTATGTAGACTAGGCTGGCCTGACCACACAGAGATGGCCTGCCTCTGCCTCCAAGTGTGCTGGAATTAAAATCGTGTGCCACCACACCCAGGCCTCTAACAACTTTTCTTTTGCTTTTTGGTTTTTGTTTTTTTGAGACAGGGTTTCTGTGGCTTTGGAGGCTGTCCTGGAACTAGCGCTTGTAAACCAGACTGGTCTCAAACTCAAGAGATCCTCCTGCCTCTGCCTCCCGAGTGCTGGGATTAAAGGCGTGTGCCACCAACGCCCAGCACAACTTTTAAAAGAATATTGCCTAGTCTTAACCAAGGCATTTCACTCCTCAACACAGCCTGTTCCAGGCCTCAATTCTAAATACTTAACTGGGTACCAATTAAAACTCAAGTCAGTCCACAAGCAACTATGTCCCACAGCCAAAAATTCATAAAGTCTGGTCTTGAATGCCCATATCAAAGAATCTCTGAAGTGTCCCTGTGGAGCACAGCTGTAGGAGGTAAAGGTGGAGGCAGGCAGGGAAATCAGTTGAAGCTTACCCTGGGCCACCCAGCAAATTCAAGGCCAACCTGCTTTACTTGTAGGCCCTGAATTTAAAAAGACTTTTTTCAACAAATTTCCTTTCATTAAAAAGTACAGGGAGTTGAAGGTACAGCTCATTTGCAGAGTACATCGTCAGCCCTGGATTCAATCACCAGCACCCCCATCACCCCCCAAAAAAGGAAGAAAAAAGGTAACTTTGGAAGAAAACAATGCCAAAGAAGACAAAAATTGTTATTTTTTAAAAAGGTTTTAAAAAACCCACAAACATAGGCTGTTTGTGGGAACTCAGAACTGATAAATTTAGTTTACTTTGTAAAGAGAAAGATGAGAGATGGATTTCTCAGTCAAAACTTGCAAAACTCTACCACAGGCTTTTTGGTGACATTTCCTAAACAAATCTTCCTTTGACTTCCTCTAAGTTCATCTCCACTCCCCATTTTGCAAACAGCAACAGAACAGCTGCAAAACTCTATCAGATGCCGAGCACGGAGGCTCAAACCTAGAATCCCAGCACTTGGGAGTCTGGAGAAGAGAATGCAACAACTTTGAGACTACACCGAGTTGGGAACCAGCCTGACTACAGAGTATGACTGTCTCAAACATCAAGGCTGCATTCCAGGTGATTATCTCTGAATTTCAGGCCGGTCAGAGCTAAGTAGTGAGAACACCTCAAACAAACAAAAGCAATGTCAAGGCTAACATTTTTAAAGTAAAATCACTTTAGACCATGTCTACATTGCAAGACAGGATTTCTCAATGCATTTTATAATCTTAAAAGGTAAGCATCAAAACCTAAAACCAGGCCAGAATGGTATGCCACGTGCCTGTAATCCCAGCCCTCAAGAGACTGGGGTAGGCAGACTTTGGGTTTGAGGCCAGCTTGGCTTCACAAACTTCATCCCAAAAAAATAAAAAGTTCATTAATTAAAATAAATGCATTCTTGTAGTCATGTTCTTCCACCATTCCTCCCAAAATAATAAAGCTCATATAATTCAAACTAATATAAGAGACTCCTGATGAGCACGTCATATGACTATAGCTAGCCCAATCCACATTTAAGGAAACCAGAGCAGCAGGAAACAGGCCGGAGAAGCAATTACCACAATCCTTTCTCATGGCCTCATTCTCCATGCTACTACTTCCACCCCTGTTTCAAACAAAACAATCTCCCTTTCTGTGAAATGTTTAGTTTTTGAAGGTCAGAGACAGCAAGGAAGCAAGTGGGGGAGGGGGCAGAAGCGTGAGAAAAACACAGGTCAGGCCCTGAGGGGGAGGGGAGAGCCTTACAGACATGAATGAGCCCAAGTAGGAAAACACAGCAAGACTTGAAGTCCGCAAACAAAGAGTGGAATGGGAAACTAAACACCTCTGTTCAGTAAGACAAACTTCGCAGCAACTGGAAAACAGGCCTAGCCAAGAGGCCCTGAAGACAGGCAGTGTATAGTGGATCATCATTATTCTTTCCTAAAATAGGTGGAGAAACATTCCAATGTCTAAGCTACACTACTGAACTTAGGTGTGATATTCACCTTCACTAAAAGAACAGGCACCAAGAAGTTGTGATACAGGCCTATAATCCCAGCACTCTGGAGGCAGAGGCAGGGAGATCTTGGTGAGTTCAAGGCCACCCTGATCTACAGCGCGAGATCCGGGACCAGTAAAGGCCACAGAGTAACCCTGTCTCAAAACACACACACACACACACACACACACACACACACACGCACACGCACACGCACACGCACACGCACACGCACACACAAAGAACGAAAGTAAGAACAGGTAATTCCGAGGGAGTGTTACACTGGCAAATTCATTAGTTTTTACCGAGCGGGGCGGTGGACGCCTTTAATCCCAGCGCTCGGGAGGCAGAGGCAGGCGGATCTCTGTGAGTTCGAGGTCAGCCTGGTCTACATAGTGAGTTCTAGGACAGCCAGGGCAGTTTCACAGAGAAGCCCAACCCTACCCCCCCACCAAAAAATGAAGTTTTACCAATATAAGAGAGATGTATAAACACAACTCACTTAAGAAAAAAAAAAGTTCGCCGGGGATGGGGGTAGGTACGCGACTTTAATCCCAGCAGAGGCAGGATCTCCAAGTTTGAGGCAAGCCTGGTCTACAGTGAGAGTTCCAAGCCAGGTTCCAAAGCTACAGAGAAACCCTGTGTCGAAAATCAAAATAAATAAATAAACAGGCACAGTAGTGCTTTCCTGGATTCCAAGCAGCTTGAGACCCCACCATAGAAGAACTAAGGTAAGGGGATCTTGAGATGGAAGCCAGCCTTGGCTTAGTAGTGCAAACCTCTCTCAAGACCAAAATATGCCACCCTCTTCAAATAAAAGATGATCTCTGAGTATCTCATGGAGAGACCTTGAAAGCTCTAAATTGTTACAGTACACAACTGCCGGAGAAAGTCAAAATGTAGGCAAATGTGCATCTTGAAAATAAAGTAGAAAGGTTTAGAGGTGGTTGTAAACTACAGGGTTATATTAAAAAGGAAACAGCAGGAATGATGCGAAAATCAACCCCAAGAGAAAACAAGAGTCCTGAGTGGAGACAGTTGGCATGCCTGGACAACGAAAACTTAGAATTCAGGGGGAAGGTGGTAACGAAAACTGGGTTGGAATTATCATTTGAACTCTATAACAGCACGCTTTACAGTTTACAAAGTACTTTTAACTTACGTTAAAGAATAAACTGTGACACATCCAGACTACAAGAGCAGGGCATGAGGAAGAAAACTAACATCAAGGCCCTCCGGAATGAAAAGAAGTAAAACTGAGCTATGCCTTCAGGTTAAGTAGGGAAACAGTGGAGCGCAGAAGTTGGGCTTTAAGACCAGTCCCAGGACCGGAGCCAGGCGTGAAAGCGGAAAGGTGGTCAGAATGAGGACGACAGCGTGGCGGGGGAGCTCCAGCCTACACACAGGGACCGAGGTGGGAGAGAAAACCACACCCTCCAGACAGAAACCCGGAGGGGGGGAGGGGAAGGCGCCCCCTGGGGCTGGGTGGGGCCCGGCCAACTAGGATGGGGGGAGCAGGAAGCACCGGGCAACCTGAGCAGCAGGGGAAGGAGGGTGCCCAGGCCTGGACACACTAAGGAAACATGAAGCCAGCGAGGGAAGCTCGGCCGGGTCCACCCGGGTAGACCCTGGGGCATTCCATAGGGGGTTGGGAGTTCAGAAGACGTTAGCCCAGGTCTAGAAAGCACACGCTGCAGGTTCCGTGGCCCTGGAAGAGCGACCAAAGGGGACAGGGTGGCAATTACCGCTGCTGCTCTCGTTGGACTCGGGACGCGCCGCCGCCGCCGCCGCTCGTTACCTGCCAATGTGCCTCTTACAAAGCGGCGGCGGCGGCAGAGGCGGCCCTGCCCGTCACGTGATCCCTACGTCACGGGAGAGGGCGGAGTCATTACTCGAAGTTTGAGTAGGTCTACCCAGCTGGTGAGTACTGCTCTGGAAGCTTGGAGAGATGGACTATATGGAGGCGGTGGGGATGCTGGCATTGCTCGTGGTTGGAGTTTCAGGGTCGTTTTATCCGCTAACTACAAGGAACCCGCTAATAGAGCGTGCTGTCGCGCTGTGATGACGTCATATAGTTGGAAGTTGCTCGCATGCGGTCGCCTCTGCCGTCACGTGACATGGTCCAACCACTCAAAGCGAGCCTAGCCTCTAGACGTTGCCGGAGTGGACTACAACTCCCAGCGTGCTGCGCGGCAAAAGCACTCTGTAAGGCCGCCTTTTCCCGTCGTTGCAACTCCGGACTCTGGCTTCTACAAGTACAGTAGGGCTGGCTTCCGGGCTAGTACTCGTGGGTACCACCTGCTTAGCGGGCCAGCGTGGTTCCTGCTGGGAGGTGTAGTCCTGGCGGAGAGTGGGTCCAGCTACCACGTTGCGGGACTGGTGCTCCGCCCTGCCCTCTGCGCGGGAAATCGCCAACGGCCAGCCGCTTGGTTGAGACACGGAGAACGTCCTCCGGCTGGCGGGCCTCGAGACCTCAGTGTAGACAAATGCGGATTGCTTTCTGGGTTACCAACACTCTTCTTCAGGAAACGACTAACATTGTCAGAGGTTTATAAAATCGTATTCTAGCCCAAGAGGCTGGGATCGACCCGGTTTTGCGATAAGGAAAGGGAAAGTTACTTCCTCATGTAAGAAACCCGAATCGGATTTTGTGTCTGTGGAAGGTACCTGAGCCACCTCTTAGTGAAGAGGTTAACCTCGAAGGATTAAGCACAAAGAATTTTTTTTGGGCGTGGGGGGGTTAGTTGGGTGGTTTTTGTAGTCCTTGCTGTCCTGAAACTCCTTCGGTAGACCAGGCTGGCCTCGAACTCACAGAGATCCGCCTGTCTGCCTCGGTAGCGCTGAAGTTGAAGGCGTGCGCCACCACCACCCGGCTCAAATAATGATTTGTGGTTTTAATATATCTTTGAAGGCGGGCGGTGGTGGTGCACGCCTTTAATCCCAGCACTTGGGAGGCAGAGGCAGGCGGATCTCTGTGAGTTCCAGACCAGCTTGCTCTACAACAGCTAGTTCCAGGATGGACTCCAAAGCCACAGAGAAACCCTGTCTTGAAAAAGCAAAAAAAAAAAAAAAAAAGTTGAAAACAGTTTTGCTTCAGCCCAAGCTAACCTAGCCTCATCATGCAGTCCATGATGGACTCTTACAACAAACTGCCTTGGTCTCCCAAGGGCTGGGATTACACGCAAGAGCCACCCCCCATGCCTGGTTAATAAAATTAATTATAAGTAATTTTAAGAACATGTTAATATGTATAAATTCCTATATGCACTATGTAGGTGCCCGGTCAGAAAATGGTATTGGACCCACTGAAACTGGAATCAGATCGTTGTAATCCATCTCTGAGTGCTGGGGATTATGCCAGTTTCCTCTGCATGCTTGGCAGGCAAAAGGCCAGGGTTGCAGTGCCTAGCGCCAGAAGTTACACATTTAAATGGAACACAATGAAAATTCTTGTGTGTAGTTTACTAAGTTAGATATATCCGCAACTTCGGAATCCAGCAAACATTATGTCCATTTGAGTTTTCCTAGACTGTGAAAGTTAAGTTAGGTATCGGTGTGTGTTACGATGTTCAGGGGAACCTTGGCGGATTCCATGGCGGGTGAGGGTGACTGAGACAGGCAGACAAATATGTCAGGCAGACAGCTTAATGGGAGGCGGAAGGAAAGAGAACAGAGGTAAAGAGACAGGAAAAGTCCTATCTGCCCCAGGGGAACAACAGGAAAGAGAGCGCAAGTGGACAGGGGTCTTTCTTTTAAACGGACCCTTATGCACCTGGGCTGACCGGCATACCTCCTGAGTGCATTCTGCCAGATGAGAGGGGCAGGCCAGCTTAATGCCTGAATCATTACAAGCAGGGCATGATATCGCAAGCCAGGCAGAGAGGCAATCTCAGAGTTCAAGGCTAGCTTGGTCTACAGATCCAGTTCCAGGACAGCCAGGAATATACAGATAAACCCTGCCCCAATCCCAAAACCGAGATATGTAAAGTATCCTTGTGGCTCACAACAAGTCCTCATCAAACAGAATTATGTTCACATCATCTTATTTGTACCCATAAGGTGCAACTGGTTTAAATAAGATAGAAAAGAAATTAGCTTATACTGAGGGGGGTACAGTGCTACTTACTAACTTGCTGGTTACTAATAGACTTGTTCTATTTAAATTACTTGTCTAAAACAATTGAAATTTTAAACAGTCTTGCCCAGTTCAAAGGAAGCCTTTGTTTTTCTGCCTGAATTAATTAAAGAATGCTCAGGCTGTACCTCTAACAACAAGAACTTATTATCCTGATTATTCATGTGTAACTGTATCATATTTCTCTCGGCTGGTGATCTAAGATTGTGTCTGGTCCATTCTGTCTCTTTTCTTGTTTTATAAAAATGTTTGGGCTAGGCAGCAGTATTGCATGCCTTTAATCCCAGCACTTGAGAGGTAGAGACAGGTGGATCTTTGTGAGTTCAAGGCCAGCCTGGTCTACAGATTGAGTTCCAGGACAAGCTCCAAAGCTAAAGAGAAACCCTGTCTCAAAAGAAAAAAAAAAAGAAAGAAAGAAAGAGAGAGAGATGTTTGAGTCAAAGATTAAAATAATTAAATAAAATCCACTATTGAAAATCAAAGGCTTAGCCAGGCAGTGGTGGCACTTGTCTTTAATCCCAGCACTCAGAGGCTGGCAGATCTCTGAGTTCGAGGCTAGCCTGGTCTACAAAGTGAGTCCCAGGACAGCTAAGACTGTTATACAGAGAAACCCTGTCTGGGAAAAAAGAAAGGAATAGCCCCCATAGAGTGGCATTAGTTGTGGAATTGTTGAGTAGGCGTGGCCTTATTGGAGGAACTATGTCACTGGGTATGGGCATTGGGGTTCTAAATGCTCAAACCAGGTCCAGTGTCTCCCTTCCTGCTAATTGTGGATCTCGATGTAGAACTCACCATGCTTGCCTGCTGCCATGATTCAAAACATGACAATAATGAACAATGAATTAAACCTCTAAACTGTAAACCATCCCCAATTAAATGTTTTCCTTTATAAGAGTTGCTGTGAACATGGTATCTCTTCACAGAATGGAAACCCTAAAAGCCCCACCTTAAAAAAAATGCAGCTGGGCCTTGGTGGCACACGCCTTTAATCCCAGCACTCGGGAGGCAGAGGCAGTAGGATCTCTGTGAGTTCAAGACCAGCCTCATCTACAACGGCTAGTTCCAGAACATCCAGCCTCCAAAGCCACAGAGAAACCCTGTCTTGGAAAAACAAAAAAGAAAGAAAAAAATCTTGGAGGGGCTGAGCATGTGGCTGGTATAACAGTACTTACTTAATACGCCCAAGGCCCTAAGTTTGATGCCCATTACCACAGACATACACACAAAGAAAGTTATAAGGAACTTTTTATTACAAATAAAATATTGTTCGAGAGGTGCTAGAGAGATGTTCTGCCAGTCAAGCTCTTTCCTTATAAACATCACAGATAGATAGATAGATAGATAGATAGATAGATAGATAGATAGATAGATAGATGAATAAGTAGAGTCTGTGAGATGGCTTTGCAGAGCTTACCAACAAGCGTGGCACTTGAATTCAATCACTAACCCACATGGTAAATGGAGAAAACAGGATCCTGCAAGTTATCCTTTGACCACTTCCATATGAAGTATGTGTGCATTACATATGCAAGAAATAAATTCTTAAAAACAATTGGGGAGGCTGGAGAGATGGCTCAGTGGTTAAGAGTACCATCAGCTCTTCCAGAGGACCTGGGTTCAATTCCCAGCACCCACATGGCAATTCACAACTGTCTGTAACTACAGTTCCAGAGAATCTGGGACCCTCGAATGCAGGTGAAACACCATTGTACATAAATAAGAATAAATAAATTATTTAAAAAAAACAATTGGGGGGGAGGCTCTGTGTAGCCCTGGCTATCCTGAAACTTTCTATAGACCAGGCTGGCCTCCTCAGAGTTCTGCCTAGTTCTGCCTCCCTCCCAAGTGCTAGGATTAAAGGAGTGTGCCACCACTGCCTGGCTATGCTAAAAAAAAAAAAATACATATATATATATTGTTTTGTTTTACCAGACAGGGTTTCTCTGTATTGTTTTTGGAGGCTGTCTCCAGCCCGGCCTCGAACTCACAGAGATCTGCCTGCCTCTGCCTCCCGAGTGCTGGGATTAAAGGCGTGCGCCACCACCACCTGGCCTATGCTAAAATATTTTAAGAGCCTTGACATCATGATACAATGTTTTATGTGCTAAATGAAAAAAAAAAAAACCAAGACTGGGAGAAGATGGGTTAGCAGATATTCCTAGCAGGGGAAATTTTGTGAGCCCCATGCAGAAAAGAATTCAGTTCAGTTTATCCAAAGGGATAGTGCTTTGGGAGTCAGTGTAGTGCAACCTAATCATAGGGGTTGGTGTTATCTGTGCCGTGTTTTGCATGTCAGGCTAAAGAATTTATTTCCTTGTTACTAATCCCTGCTTTTTCCATAAGAACTTTAATGTCAGTAGGGGTCCCGAGAAGCAGAAAAAAAAAAAAAAGCTCCCTAGAGACACTGGGGATTAAGCTCGAATGGCAGAGTGACAGGTGTGGTGTGTTTTAGATGAGGAAGTCACCCCCTCAGATCCTCTGCTGCTTATATCACTGGTTCTGCCAGCTTGAGGGTAGGCCAGCTGTGATCACTAAAGAAAACATATTTTCCTTGACTGCTTGTAAATTTTGTTCAAACTGAAAAACTTTTCTGTTGGATTTCTAAGATTCCCTAATGTTACTGCCAGAAGACAGCTGCTCTGATCAGGGTGAGCCATTTCCAGCACAACTATAAGATAAAAGGGAAAGAGAGGCTCTTGACAGTCTGTTGAGTCTGCCC